CGCTAGCCTTGATGCGACTTTTCCAGCTTCGAGATTTTTTCGATCTTACGGTGGTAGCCGTCTCCGGGCGCTGTAGAATGGAAGGCGGCATTCCTATGTAGCGTTGGCTGAAATTTTCAAATGTTTCGGTGGGGCCGCCTGACAGGTCTCTTTCGCGCCGAGGAGACGGGTGCTTCGGAACGACTCTTCTTCTTGCGCGGCTCCACAGCCAATCGGAACGCTTTTGTGTGGTCCCTTGCAGCGGCTATACCTGAGCATATATCTGAAGGGTCTGACGTCGCCGAAGATCGTCGTCATTGGGTATTTTCTACTGTTTTGGGGCTGTGTCGCGCTACAACGCGCTTTGTTCGACGGGAGAGAGCTCGCGATCCACATGCACATCCAAAAGATAAGCTCAGGATGCTGTGAAGAAAAACACTACAGCGAAGACTCACAGGATGCCGTTAAAGCTGAGTGGAACTGAAGCATGTAACTGGTAAATCCATTCAATAACTTCGCTCTACATGATCAATAGCATAAGTGGATATGCATGTTTTAGTTTCTTTTCTTAATTCAAAGATTGAACAAACGTGAGTTTGGAAAGGGGAGTGTGGTACAATGGACAAGAGGGGGGGGGGGTTAATGAGAAAAGTCAAATGTGAGCGCATCGAAAGCTGCAATACCAGCCAGAATGAGTCAGTAGTGCTCAACAGTATCGCGCTGCTTAACGCACAGTAAACGAATTGGTTCCCGTCCACGGCATCTCAGGGGAGGCAAAAGATTCGCAAGTCCTGGCTTGCGTCAGGGTGAATAGCCCCATGTTACCATACTTAATCTTGCGCCCTTCACTAAATACGACACTTCTCCTTTATAAAATGTTGTATAGTTTGGTTTGGGGCTTTTTAAGTCCCTACGATCCCGTGACACATTTACATCATATTTTTCACAATAAATCTGGATGCAGTGCTGCTGAAATGTTCCATTTTCTCAAGGACACTGGTCGGATTGTTCGTTTGTGATGCCAAACGTGAAACTGTAACGCATCGGCTGAATCAGCAACTTTTTTCTCTTCTTCTCCGTGCCTTTTCTTCGCACCACTTTTTTTTTCCAGTGCAGGATAGCGTATACTGCGCTCAGCCTTGGTCAACCTGCCTACACTTCTTTTTATTGTCCAGAGGCAGATGTTTGTGCAGGTTCGTCGACGTTCGGTGAACATCGCTACGAAAAAATGTAACGCAGTAGAACTATTGTTCAAGCAACATGATAATACTTGACTGCGTCTATCGAGCTGGTGCTCTTTTTTTCTGTTATAATGATATATTGAGAAATATACGTCATGAAAGCTCAACTATGCTCTTTGCTCTAATTCATTGACGTAATTTTTTCGGTGGTTACCAACGTATACGCGGTGATGTATATATGATGAAAATCCGTATTTAAAAAAAAGCTCTTTTGATAGCATTACAGTGGGCCGACTTCAGCCAGACCTCAAGCGCTAACTATCAGCCCATTTTTGTTGCTTGTGTTTTTTTTTTACCGGAGCGCCCCAGCCAGAATCCTCTAATGATTTCTATACATCCGCATTTACGATATGATCACGAGAGTATGCCACAAGCCCGCATAGTGCGACTGAGCTTTCACAGAAATAAGAGCGTCAGGCCACGCTTTCTTCTTAATTTATGACCACTCTTCGCAACATTTTCTTTCTTATGACTTCCCGATTCTTATTTCTTAACTAATAACTGAGTGTGCCAATTTTCGCCTGATTTCGCATAGTAACTGGTCCATATATGCGGTCCGCATGTCCACTCATGGTCTCAAGTAACACTCTTTCATGAAGTGTACCGTGGGTGGCGAGGTGTTTTTAAACGTTTAAGAACAGTATACCGCTTTTACTCGTTCGTAACACGACCAAGGTTACAACCTGAGGGAGGTCTCTTCATTGAGCTGAGGGACAACACGGTTATTTCAGTATTTATTGTAACGCAATAGTTGACTTTAGGTAACAAAATATGGAAAGAAAACAAAGCAGCACAAAAAGCTCGCGTAAGATTCGAGCAAAATTAAATGGTACTTTTCAAATCCAACTATGTCTCATTAGGCCAGAATGCGCATTTCTGAATCAATACTCAGAATTTTCAGTCAAAGGACCACAGTATTCTCTCGTAAGTGAAATAGAGGCTTCGTAAACAGAAGAGAAAAATTTCGGAAGATCCTGCATACGTCGGAAACCGTCGTTCTGCGAAACATGCGGAGGGAAGGTGACCCTGTTATTATTTATTTACTGAGCGATACGTTAGAAAATAATGCTAAGTGTATGTGCAAATAGTGCACGCACAGACATATTACGAACAGTTGTAGATGTTTATATAACTAGCAGTTTGCACTTGCACAACGATGCCAATAGAAACATGAGTATTAACAACACCAGAAGCGATAAGCTGATACGAAGCGCTGGTGCTTGCGAGGATAGTAGCCCTGAACACTGCTACATAAATCAACGTCAGCGCATGGCACTTAACTACAAGGTGACACGACGTGAAGTAATTTTTCAAAATCGCATAGCCAGATAAGAGACCACAATGGACGTTTCGCGAACATTAGGCTCTATTTGAAAAGTAGTTCCGAATGCTCTCCCATAGTAGACTACAGAGCACTCTAAATCGTTAACCGCTTTTTCTACCCCCTCCCCCAAACCTGGCGTGGCTCTGTGGATGCTTGTTTACCACGCACACTGTTGGGGTTTGATTCCTCCTGGGATCCTGACCTTTATTATTTGTATTCGCCGGGTCAATGCCGCCGATCTCGGGATATTCTTGATATCGGCGCGTTATAATTACCCATGTGTGTTATCGTCGCTTCTTGGTAGATAATAAGTGGGATTCACCTGTGGCACATGCCCGCATACAAGTGGCACGGGCAGTAATTGGGCGGTTAACGTCCCAAGAACAACGCATGATTATGAAAGACGCCGCAGTGGAAGGCTCCGGAATTCTGCGACGACTTGGGGTTCTTTAACCTGCACCCAAATCTGAGCACATGGGCCCACAGCATTTTCTGGACATCCGCACACACCAGCGGGCTGAAAGTGTTTGATGACGCATGTGACGGGATTGTGACATTATGCACGTATTGATCAGCGCTTCATATTTGACAAACCATCTTACTCTCCCATACTAATTTTGGATCACGCGAAGTTCAGAGAATAATCACAAGAGCACCCAGACGCAAGTGTCCTGATAGATATATACGCAAATAGACCCCAAAGGTGCTTGCATTACGCAAAGAAATGCTTCGCATATAAAAAAAATAGCATTCTATAGTTAACCATCTTGTTTTTGCTGCTGCGCTAACCTTGATACCTAAACATTCGGCTTTGTTGAACGGTCATCGCGCAGCTTCAAGTAGTGTTTTCGTACACTAAATGAAGCCCATTTTTGGTACATAGCAAACTGGATGAACTACTTCAGTAATTTCGTTACCAGCTAATTACTAAGGCATTCACTATGGTAAGAAATTACTGTTGCGTTTGCTAATGCTCAATTGCTGCCTTTTTGAAAAGTTTGCTTGTTCTACATAACTTTATTTTCTTAGTTTCTCTTGTTCTTCAAGTGTCTGCTTTACGTTGTGTTATTTACGTAACATCATTTGACAAAGTAACTTGGACACCATTAGTTTATAGGGCAAATCAAATGTGAACCTAAAGCTAGTTTTTTGTTAATGCGAAGCATTCAGTTGCCAACTTCGGTGACTTTGAGCTTATCTATATACCTATCTACCTATCTATCAATCTAGCCGCTTACGTTTGGGTGCTCTCGTGGTCCCCTCCTTAACTTGGCGTGAACTAAAATAAACATGGGAGGGTAAGACGGCTTGACAAATATAACGCGCTAGTCAAGACATGGATAACGTCACAATCTCGACGCGTACGTCGTCCAACACTTTCCACAAGACAGTGGCTGATAGCTACGGAGGGTATGTGCCGCTGTTATGCGCGTATGTGTCAGAGGTGATTGACTTTTAATATCTACCCGGAAATGACGAGAACACATATGGGCAATTTTAAAGCGCGAGTGTTGAGAAATACCCGACGTCGGTAGCATCGACCCGACAAATGCAAAGAATATAATGTCACGGTCCCAGCAGGAATCGAACCCACGCATTCTGCGTGGCAATGAAGCATTTTACCATGCAGCTACATCGGGTCTCGGAACTGCTTTCAAATAGACGCTAATCTTCGTGAAACGTCGATAGTGGTTGTAGTGCTGCCTACCCAATTTTGTAAACATTACGTATGTACTCCTTTGATAGAGCCGTCAGGATGGTTTAGTGTCAATTCAGTTTAGGTGCCATGCGCTGAAGTTTTTTTCATGTAGTAATGTCCAGAGCCAGAATCCTCGCGAACATCAGCGCTTCATATCAGCTTCTGGTGTTGCTATAATAGGCATGTTCTAGTTGTTTTGTGGCGTAAGTGCAAACAACTGGTTATATGAACATCTGCAACTCTTAAACATATGTCTATGCGTTTGTACATATATTTAGCGTCATTTCATGACGTGTGACTCAATAAAAAAATTGCAACACTGTCGCAGTCCCTCCGCATGGTTCGTATACCGTCGATTCCCAAGTACAGCGGGATCCGTCACTTTTTTCTTTAAATATTTTCTAGTTCGCTTACTATTTGCGTAATCTAGAGACATTTTAACACATTTTTAACACACTCTGTAAAGATCCAATCAAAAGTTTCACCACATGTAGTGATAATAATAGTGAAGGACTCAATCGAGGTGAACAGTCTGGGCAATTCACGACAGGAAAGAAAAAAGTCCTTTGCGATATTCAGTCTCTCGAAGGCACTTACCTTTAGTTTTAATAAAATTGACCTTTATGAGTGCATTTTGTGGATAATTATTACTTATACCTCTCTGTCAAGACAATTTTCTTCAAAGATAACAGCGATGGCCTTGGAAAGAAATAATCTATTTTTCTCATTCAGTCACCACAGTAAATTCATATTATAGTTAGTTTTGCGCACTTTTTTATTTTTTTTATTTCTTTGTTTGTTTGTTTTTTGTTACAATAGTGACAGTCGTACTTAATACAGTTGGACACTGGGGCATTCTTGCACCACAGATTTACTATTCCAAAATTTTGAGGAGACTTTTCGTTGAAAGCGACCGATTTCTACGCTGACGTGGCCGCCTTGGTAATTACGGAGATTGAGAGCCCGTATATACGCGAAAGGGAGATGTTTCGTTGGGGCGTTCGGTATCGCTTCTCGCTTCACTCGGGGAACGGAACTTCTTTAGCCGCGTTAAGCATCGCCTTGGCAAAGACTCGTTTTGTCGCGTACTCGAACACGTTCATCATTTGCAGGTGAAGCTCTCGCTCCATCACGGCGTACCAAGTGGGGCGCGCCTTTCGCCCCGCCGACACGCTGTCCCACATGGCGTCGTAGCGAGGCGAGAACTCGACTTTGGCCGGCAGCGATCTCTCGAACGTGACGGTAAGCGGACCCCTGACGCCCTCGAAGGTGCCGTTTATCTTCACCTTGCGCAGCGTCGCGTTCGGGTACGTCAGCTCAGCAACGACGTCGTAACGTAGTTCGGTGGCGAGGTTGCATTCCAGGGTGGTCGGATGTTCTTCGTTGGCGCGGGTCAGCTGGCAGTCGCCGTCGCGGCTGATATCTCGAAGACCGGTGACACTGAAGAAGACGAACCTCATGTTGGTGCCGTTCAGGTGGTGCCCGTTGACCGGCTGAAAGTTACGCGCCTTGAGCGGATCGAGCTTCGCCGTGTGTTTCGGCAGCTCGAACTCGAGAACCGAGTCGATGTAGGCGTTGGCGTCTTCGACGTTGGCGTTGTTGTCCAAGGCGCCGACTCCGTCATTCCTGTCAAGTCCGTGCGCGGGCCCTGCGCGTTAACAGAGAATGATGTATGCGTGTTGAGCGGGCAATTACATTTTGCCGAAGCGAAGAGCACCTTTTCAATTGATAGGTTGAGTGTGTCGATCACTCTTAGGCATCAACAATGAATGAAGCTGAACTGTATACTATTCAAGATTGCCTCGTAATATGCAGGACACAAACAAGAAAACAGACAAACGCAAACACAACCTGACTTATTTATTGATTGATTTATTTATTTAATAATTGATACTTTTCTTCGCGATGCTCTTGGTAATAAACATAGGTGAACAATGCCAAGAGATGTTTTCTTTTTGTTATTGTTGTTGTTGTTTCTCTGTTTTTGGCAGCAATTAGTTAATGTTCAGGTAACCAATACAGGAGCGCATGTCTTTTGTGAGGTATATCAGCCAGTTCGGCAACATCTCTGGTTGAGATCGCCCCCACGATTGCCTTAGACGTAGTGTGTGGGCAGTTCTGCCTTGAGTTACTCATCATTATAAGCAGCCGCTGAAAGAACAAATTGCCATTCCGAACGATCGCTTATTACCTATGTCTCGAAGTATATGACTTATGCACTGAAATTTTCAGATTTCAGCACATGCACCAAGTTTTCTGCCGTCCCTTATGCGCATGACTTTCCCCGACCACCATTTTGAATTGTTGTTACACCACCATCTACATTTTCGAACATCATATCGTCTGCCCACCCCTACTCGTTCTGCCAATACCGAAGTGCGCATTCGGTTTTTGCGGCACCGACAAATATATTGAACACCTGCTGTGTCACTGTCCGAGACTTGCCGCAGAAAGACAAGTACTTGCCAACGCACTGCGCCTTGGATGATCTTCCACTTTCTGTGCAGGTGCCATTACAGCCCAGTTCACATCTCTCGACAGCCCACTAGGCAGTGAAAGCCCTCTTGTGGTTTTTGAGGACGACGGGTTTGTGTGAACGCCTGACTCGTGGTGCAGTTCTTTACGCTGCAGTGAATTTACTCTCTCTCTCTCTATTTTCTTTTTCTTCACTTCCCTCTTTCCCAACGTTCTTATCCCCTTCCTCAATCTCCAGTGTAGGGTAGCCAACGGATGTTTTTTTTTTTTTTTGGTTGACCTCCCTGCTTTCTTCCTTTGCGTCTGCTTACTTCCTTCTTCCAACATCGACTTCAATATCTGTTACGCCAATATGCTGTCTGCATCATGACACCTCTTTTTCAAGGCATAATACAATTTACACATTTTCGTATCTTCTTATAGCTTCTCGAGACAAGAGGGAAGAAAGCAAAATATTACAAGAACAAAAAAAAGAAGAAAAAAAAGAAAAGAAGGAGGAAGAAACGTTAACAAAGAAGCAAGACCAGCTTGCACTTCACCTCAGGGCAAGACCAGCATTCCCTATTCCCAAGCACACAGATTCCGGTGAATCTGCTCCCGCACCGAGGATTTCCACAAAAACTGCACACGTATGCGCGAAGTACTTCTTCATGAAGAATACCAGTCAGCTATCATTGATGACGCATTAAAAAAAGCGGAAAACCTGAACCGCCAGACTCTTCTACACCGCAAAAAAGATGCCGACCAGCACCGTAAAAAATATTTGCTGTTAACTTTCACGAGCAACCCACCTGGCATAAACAAGTTCCTAAGAAAACACTATAACATATTGGAACAGAGCGGGTGACTATCCGAAATTTTCACTTCTCTTCCTTGTGTGGTATACAAGCGGCCGAAAAGTATAAGGGATCATTTGATAAATTCAAAACTAGGCTTGAAACCTCAAACAGGGTGTCGCCCTTGCGGAAAAAGCAGAGACAAAGTTTGCAAACACATGCAGACAACAACAGAGGCAGAAAGCACCCACTCATATTTTAAGCACAGGATTAGAGGTGCGCTGCACTGTGACTTGGATAACGTAATATACCTTAAATCTGGAATGTGGGGTATGTAACATGCACTACGTGGGCCATACAGACACACCATTTAGAATTAGATTCAACATCCATCGGGCACATGTACGTTCCCTGCCAGGCCTTCCACTTTCAAAACACAGCACATTAAAAGACCACAGCTTTGATGACATCAGAGTTACACTATTGGAAAGCAATTTTTGAACAATGAGAGAGCGGGAACAACGGAAATCTTACTTTATCTACAAATTCAACACAATAAAAACGGAATAAATGAACACCCAGGCCGTCCGTCAGCGTTAAGATAACTAAAAGATGCAAATACCTCTCTGTAATCAGTACTCTGTCCCTAGCCTCCCATTGCAACAATAATATTACCCCTAACAAAGCTTTTAGCGCATACATCTGACAATAGTGAAATCCTTTGCCACTTCAAGCACAGGCGCAACGCACAGATAAGTGGTCTGAATATTGTACAGTTGCCCTCTTTTTGTTTTCTTTTCTTTTTTTCTTTCGTTTCTTTTTTTTGGTTGTTTTCTTTGTTTTCTTTTTTCCTTCTTGTTCTTTTCCTTCACTGACAGGAGTTAATGCATATGATGAATATTGATAGTGGTGCCACAATTACCGGCTCTTTCATATCTTCCAACGCCACCAACATGCACTTGAAGCGCTTAAGCTCTCCCCACCAATTTGTCGTAAACTTCAAAGGAGGGCAAGCCGCCAGCGGATTGCACCGGAGGGTGAAATACAGAAACGGTGGTCAAAATTTCCACTTGGGGGAAGGGTGGTGCTTAGGAGGTATTGTTGACAAAGATGGCATAGGTCGTTTACGTTCGCCTTAATGTGTTGAGTTCCTATTCCTTCCTGATCCCGCCATGCGCCTCTTGCTTCTTTCTAACGTTTCTTCCTGCTTTTTTTTCTTTTTGTTGTTGTTAATATTTTTCTTTCTTCCATCCTTTCTCGAGAAGCTATAAGTATACACGGAAATGTGTAAATAGTATCATGCCTTGAAAACGACAGGGCTCCCATTGAAACGTTGGCTGAATAAATAAGTTGTTATATATATATATATATATATATATATATATATATATATATATATATATATATATATATATATATATATATATATATATATATATATTGTCACGGGGTCGTGACGGGGCCGAAGACAGGAGACTTCGTGTTGGGATTTAACTGTTTATTTGGGCGAACCTGTGCCCGATAAACGGAAAGTCCAATTACAGCAGCAGTCTCGCACAGATAGCAGTCTCGGACTGATAGCGGCGAACGGAGCGTCGGCCTTCGATCAACAACTGACAAGCGGCGAAGCGCGTCGGCATTTATACTCTTGCCGTCGAATGTTCAAGTGTTATCGCTGGCGATGGCGTAGGTTCCAGAACAATCTGTACCGTTCGCACAGTATGCGTGATCTCATCAAAATGATCTACTACAGTCCGGAACCTTCTCGAAAACTGCAGGCGCGGTTTGCGCTGAGAATCGTGTGGTGTTTTGGGACGATAACAAAAACTTGGGAAATGGAACGTGGCATTGCCCCCCTCTGAAAAAAGGCATCGTCCCGATGCTTTATTGATTGATTGATTTGAGGGGTTTAACGTCCCAAAACCACCATTTGATTATGAGAGACGCCGTAGTGGAGGACTCCGGAAATTTTGACCAACCGCGTTGCTTTAACGTGCACCCAAATCTGAGTACACGCGCCTACAACATTTCCGCCTCCATCGGAAATGCAGCCGCTGCAGCCGGGAATCGAACCCGCGACCTGCGGGTCAGCCGCCGAGTACCTTAGCCAATAGACCACCGCGGCGGGGCGTCCCGATGCTTTAACTAAAGATGAAGGTACAATAATAATGCAAGAAAGTACAATGAATAAATTACGATACAACAATAATACAAAAAAAAACACTGTTTCAGTTTGTTAACGCGCATGAAACGGCTTGAGGCGCGCGACATGGACGACTTCAGGTCACGATTGGCGTCGTTGAGAGTTCGTGATGCCGTCGGGGACAACATCGTAATCAAGTGGGCCGAGACGTCGAACCACCCTGTACGGTCCGAAGTACCGTCGCAGAAGCTTTTCACTTAGTCCACGTCGGCGTATCGGCGTCCACACCCAAACACGTTCACCGGGCTGGTATTCCACGAAGCGTCGTCGAAGGTTGTAACGGTGGCTGTCGGTCGTCTGTTGATTCTTGCTACGGAGACGCGCAAGTTGTCGGGCTTCTTCGGCGCGTTGAAGGTACTCGCTCACATCGAGGTTTTCTTCGTCGGTGACGTTTAGTAACATGGCATCGAGCATCGTTGCCGGGCTCCTTCCGTAGACCGATTTGTATGAAGATATCTGTGTCGTCTCCTGCACCACCGTGTTGTATGCGAAGATCACATAGAGAAGAATGGCGTCTCACGTCTTGTGTTCGACATCGACGTACATTTACGGCATGTCGGCGATCGTCTTGTTAAGCCGCTCGGTGAGGCCGTTGGTCTGTGGGTGGTACGCTGTCGTCCGGCGTCGGTTTGTTTGGCTGTATGCCAAGATCGCTTGAGTTAAGTCGGCAGTGAATTCCCTTCCTCTGTCGGTGATAAGGACTTCCGGGGCGCCGTGACGTAGGACGATATTTTCGTCGAAGAACTTAGCTACCTCGGATGCACTGCATTTTGGCAGGGCTTTTGTCTCGGCGTAGCGGGTGAGGTAGTCGGTAGCTACCACGATCCACTTGTTTCCGAAAGCCGACGTCGGGAACGGCCCCAGTAGGTCCATACCAATCTGCTGGAAAAGTCGGCAAGGTGGATCAATTGGCTGCAGAAGTCCCGCCGGCTTTGTCGGTGGTGTCTTGCGTCGCTGGCAGTCCCGACATGTCCTCACATAACGAGTGACGTCGGTGGTAAGACGTGGCCAGTAGTACCTTTCTTGTATCCTCGCGAGCGTGCGAGAAACACCGAGGTGCCCTGCCGTCGGATCGTCCTGCAGGCCCTGCAGGAGTTCTGGTCGCAGAGCTGAAGGCACCACAAGGAGGTACTGAGCTCGAAGCGGTGAAAAGTTTTCCTTTTGTAGAAGAACATTTCGTAGAAAGAACGACGC